CACTTATTTACAGTTCATTTTCTCTTTCAATTTGTTTGGAAACCTACAAAGCAGCTTTCAGAGTGTGAACAGCCAGCCAGCACTTACCAACTAATTGACTCAGACCTCACGCTAAAGAATCCCAGGAATACTGGACAAATCAGCCATAGCAGCTAGACGATTCAAAGCAGGCAACGTTTAATTTAAGAGTTTTTGCGAGCAAGTTCTACAAGTTAATATCTCAATAACGAAAGAAAGTTTAACAAACGAATATTTTCTATTGGAAGGACTTATGATAGTTCAGACATATGTTGATTCAAATAGTGACCATTCTGACCTGTGATAGGAAACAGTAATGTGAACTGGGCGATACAACTGATTAAAAAGATAAAAATCAATCGATTAAATTCTCAACCCCATTTTTAGTTCTTTTTGAGATTTTTTTGGTCGTCTTTTTCTTCACAACTTTACATACAACATCCCGTTCTTTTCTTTTTAACGGCTTGCAAACAGACTGACACGAATAACCCTCAAAACACATTGAAAGCTTTCGAACTGCAGATATTTTCAAGCTTTTGGTTTTGACGCATTCAATCGAGTATAACTGTGGTATACTTAACAGTTTCGGTATTTCTGCTGTTACTCTGCGTGACACTCCAATATCCACATACGCAACCCTCATACCACCATCAACAATTCTGAAATCAATACCAACTTGCCTAAAAGCCTGCGTGCACACATCCGGAGTGGTTGTTTGGAAATAAGACTTCAGAATTGAGTTGAGGTATTTGGCAAACTTTTTTTCTAAGTCCTCTCCATCACCGAATTCAACAATTTTAGTTTCATTTGGTATTTCGTTGCGATCTTCTGATTGGTTGTCATCCACCATCCTTTCGTTGACAGTCGTACCAGCCTTCTTTTTAAATGGTGATATCGCTTCTTGTGGATTTGCCAGCACTTCCTGAAACATTTCCTTAAACTGTTGAGGTATTATTGGTTCTTCAATGGGATCTTGGCTTCCAATCACATCATCCGACTCTTCTTTTTCTTCAACGTCTTCACTTTCTGTCGTTGTTGTTTCTTCCTCGCCAACTCTATCTTTAATTTTTATGACATCTCTGAACTTAGCATACAACGAATTCAGTCTTCTTTTTTGGGCTGCAAACACCCCAACATCTAATGGTTGTGTTAAATGTGAGGTGTGAGGCACCAAACATACGATTTCACAGTTCACATTGATGATTTTCTCGTTGACTTGGACATTCGACTTGAGCAACAACCTCACATCTTCGATTGAGTGGCACGTGCACTGATCAAATATCAGAACGGCCTTATCAATATAACCAGTCTTAATTCTCATGTCGACAATATAAGGTACTACAACGTCGTTGATGTATTGTATAAATAAGTCACTGTTGATAAAACCATTTTTGCTATAACTGACGATGTTTCCCGTTTCCATCCAACCCAATTTCAAGAATTCAACTGCAACTCTTTTGTATTTTGTTACAATCATACAAGGAAGAGGTTGTGAGGGGGTAATAGTGCAAACGACAGTGGATCGAGCAATGTCACGTTCGACTCCATATTTCATTTTACTGTCTGTGGAAAAACCAGCAGTGAATACTCCCTTCACCATTTGCCTGTCTGGCCATGGCTGATACCCTGACTCATCCAAATTCAAAATAAATGGTGATGGGATGCCATTTAAAAAAAGTGGCAGTGCAATGTAATACTTCAACACGGCATCTTCGTCGTAGGTCAATCGAGATTGGTCTTCAGCAAACACAGTAACAATCGAAAAGTTCCAATTTTTATGTATTTTATCATAAATAACATGGTTTGACACATCAACGTTGAAGTTTTTTATTATAAACAACCTCAAATGAGTTATGCTGATAACTTTGCATTTTCCTAGAAACTTTTCATTATCAAGAATCAAATTCTTGACAGTTTCCCATTGTGTTTCAGTTAAAAATGACGGTCGTCCGTTATCTTTTTTTCCAAACAATGCCGTCTCCATACCTCTTCGTTTGTTGATATTAAACTGACTTGAAGATAAATCAAAGACTCTACATAGTTTACTCTCGGTCACCTTTTCCGTATTCATTCCATTGAACATTTCTCTCTCAATGTTCATCAAATACACCTGAACATTCAGGGGCAATTCACAAAAGTTGCAATGTTTGCTGAATGTTCTTTGGGCTATTTCTTTCACTGGACCAGGACAATACTTTAAATTCTTTTCAAGTGTTGTATGGTCTAAGCCACTAAAAGCAACATTCCTGGAGCCCATAATTATATTATTTAGATTGTTTTTTTTAAAGAAAAACATTTTTATTTAAAAAAAGAAAAACAAATATGTAATTTTTGTTGAATCCACAGGGTTTTCTCATTCTCACATACTTTTCTCACATACTGTATATTCTTTTTTAATTTATGATGTCTAACCACACATAAATAACACAATTATTAAAATGACACCACAACTGTTATTGAATAGTAAAATAATAACATGATTTAATAGTTGAATTTTAATAATTTTACTATGATAATTAATATAAAATAATTTCATATTATCCTTTACTTGTTCATTATAAAAACTGATTAAATTATTAAATGTGTAAACTTTTTGAGTGTGTAAACATAGACTTCCAAACAAAACAAATAATAAATTATTATTTTATGAAAAGTATGTGAATGGTTATTTTTAACGACTTCTTGTTCACAACTTATTTGTCCATGTTAAAAAAATTAAATTGTATATTTTTCTGGTTGAAATAACAAACAACCAAGTGAAGTTTGTTTAAAATAAATTATTAAATATACATGTGAACAAATTAAAAATGTTGATAATAAACCAATTTGTATTTTAAATTACATTGGTGTTGTCACTTAGATACAATTAAATATATTTTATAAATTTAATTAAAACACTTTTTCTTGATATTAATATTGAATTTGAAAACAATTGATTTGTTATTAAATGTTTGTGTATAACTTAGATAACATTTGCATTGTTTTTTAATTCCAAAAAACAAACATTTATGTTTAAATAAACTTTTTTGTATTATCAAAAAATATAACTGTTATAATGAAAAAAATATACAGTAAATTTTCCCAAGAGCGGTACCTCTGAAGAGCGGGCATTTTTTAGACTGAAACTTTAAATAAAGTTCTTCATCGAGCAATAATTAAGGTTTGATTGGCTAAAAATGCCCGCTCTTGGGAGGTATTACTGTATAGAATTAATTTTTAAAAATAATCATGAAAAGTGTATTCATTTTGTTTAAACTACTAACTTAATGTACTACAACAAAAAAAACTAAAATAAAATTTATTTTTTTATCGTCTGCTTTTGCTTTTTGATGATAAAATGATTATTTTTATATCTTATTTATATATGTGAGAGAGCAACAAGTTAAAAGCAAAAATGTTTTAAGATGTGTTATTTTAGTAATTTTGGTGTAATTATTTCAAGTTCAGGTTTGATGTTACACGTTTACACTCTAAAATTTATCCCGTTTTATTTTTGACATTTTATAAAAATGAAAATGTTGTGATTAACAGTGAAACCTAATATATTATCTGTTGTTATTAAATTATTGAAATTAATAATCAATACATGTTTCTATTTATAATAATAAATGTTGTGGTGTTACTAAAATGTATATGTTTAATTATGTGTGTTATATGAATATAAAGGAAACAATAGTTAAGAAGAATAATTGTATATAACAACTGTCTTATATGTTATTATCAATAAAAAATTGTTGAATGAAAATTGTGTACATCGACGTAGTTATACAATGAAATTGATGATAATTGTTTATTTTTGTTTTAATGAATATCATAGTCATTACACAAAAGTTGTTATTTACAATCAATAAATTCAGTGTGATAAACAATCATTATTTTAGTGGAAATTTAATTTGAGAATTACCTTTGTATCAACACTGTTGATATTTTGTTTTTTTATTTGAACGTTTAATTGCGTTGATTACTTTGTTATGAACATTGATAACACGATCTGTTAAGGTTAATGATGATTATATATAATCAATTCAACAATGTGTAAATTCAGAAAAAAAATTGTCAATTTTTAAAAAATATTTTTTTGTTATTTGGTAAAGATCAAAGTAAAATGCCGATTTACAAAAAAAATAATTCGACCCAAAATATTTTAGGATTACTTGGGTCGTGACAATCTCGAAGGTCACTTTAAAAAATGATTTAATAAATAAATAATTTTTGGTTGTGTTTTTGATTAATATTATGCTATACCATGATAATGTAGTTGTTTTTTATATGATAAGAACTTTATTATGATAATAATATATAATATTTAAATAATAAATTATATTAATAAATTATTATATCAAATAAAATGGAAATACTAATTTATTTTTATACAAAAACTAGGACAAAATGGTTCATTTCAAAATTATAAAGGAAAAATTCACAAAGGTTTTGTGGTTTTTCCTTTATAGTTCCGGGTTTCGATATTTTTATAAAAAGAATTTTATCCCTATTATCCAATGAATATTTTATGTGTTTTTTATTCTCGTTTTAATTGTGAGTTATATATTTAAATCACAGGTGTACAAACATTTTATAGCGGTTTTTATTAAAAAAAATGTTTTAATTTAATTACTATTATGTTTACTATTTAAGAAATCAATTTCAAATTATAATTAATAATAAAATTATGATATAAATATTATTGGATAAATATAGTTTTACAATAATTTTATATTATTATTTTTTAATAAAAATTTTGATGATATTAATAATTGTGACAAGTAACAACTTTTGAGGTCAACAAACAACTCCACAAATATAA